CTGCTCAGGCTCCGGTAGGTCGGTGTTGACTTTGGTCAATAACGCCTCCTTGATTCCAGGGTCCACAACACGTCCTTTAGCAAGCGTTTCTGCGGCATAGCGCATAGCAATATCCAGATGTTCCTCTGGAGTTAGTCGCATGACATATCTGAAGTCCGGGATAGGGTCGCGGTACTTCACTACAGGTGGAAGCCCCTCCTTAGGTTCCGGGCTCTTGGGTGCTTCTGGGCTTGCACCCTCAGTAAGGTAGCCTTCCACGGCTCCAATCCGCATAGTGGGGTACGTCCATTCATCATCGCTGTCCGAATCCTCTAATAAAGGTGGTGGCTTATCGAAGCCATCACTCTCCTGAGAGGACTCCTCGCTCTCCTCCGTGTCAAACCCAGAACTCGGCACTGAGTCGATCACGGGCTCCTCCTGTTCCCCTGCTGTGTCCTGACGTGCCCCTTCAGGCATCACCTCCAAAAGGGCGACTTCACCGGCGGGTTCCCCTGCTGGAACTGGAACCCGGGGCTCCTGGGTGTCGGTAACATTATCCCCGCAGTTCGGCTGAGGTGAGTGCTCGAGCCGACAAGAGGAAACACTTGACCATTGTGACGCCGATACCTCCGCGTCGGTAAGCTCGCTTGTTCCTAGGGAAGATTCACACACTAGGTCCGAAACCGGGCTCCCGGTGTTTGAGTGTTCCTTCCTCTCCTTGTTGGTGAGGACAGAGGGTGATAGTCCTTTAGCCTCCCGCTGCACACCGCCTAGCATGGCCTTGATGACTTCTTGCACCAAGGGTGAGGCTACTTGCTCCGCCGGCGTTGCACGGGTTGGTTGGGGCCTAATAGGAGTCTCATTACTCTGCGGCTCCGCCGCGGCGACTGCATATCCTGAGAGTCGCATAAATGGGGAGTCCTTAATCTTGGTAGGAGCGGCGGAAGGATCGGTCGTTGACTTCGCATATCCTTCCTCCCCCACAGAGTCTGATGACAGCTCTGGGATTGGGGACTGCAGCATGTACGCTTCCGGGTCTAACGCCGTCTCCGCATCGCTTGAACCACGGGACATGGCCTCCGCCTCCGCATGGTAAGATGCCGCCTCTTGTCCGCGTAGGCAGCTAATGGTGATGTGGTTACGCATGTTCCTGTCGTTAGTGTACTCAAGCCTGTTGTTGTTATAGCAAATAGTCGCACGAATGGGCCATAAGAAGTCGGTGCCCAGCAGAATGTGATAATTCTGCGCATAGCTGACATATGCGTCCAGCGAGTAGCTTAGGTCGCCCAGTGAAACCTGTAGGCCTCGTACACGACCTGCCGCGCGTCCCTTGGCGCCGTCCGCATTTAGGAACATGACGGTCGTGTCTTCGATGGCCTCGATTAGGTCCAGCTTTCGCAAAGCACTGAACGTAATTACGCTATTCGAGGCGCCACTGTCAATAACCGCTGTAAGGGGCTCTGGTTCGCCCTGGGCATTGTTAACCAGGACGGTCGCCCGGCATACCTGCCACTTGGGCGGCGGTAGCTCCATCGCATGGGCAATAGCGGAGCGGCTCTTCTCCGTCGTCAAATCGCGCACCCTTCGGAGCTCAAAGTTGTGAGCGGCCGGCTTCATGGGAACCGAAGAAGGTCGGTCCCGGGGTGGCGCACTGAGGGGTAAAGGGTTACGTTGGGCTATGGGTGCCATCACTGAAGGTGGCTTCGCAGCCATAGGCGCATCAGCCCCGCTGCAGTTAATAGTAACTCGATCGTTGTCGTAGATGTTGTACGTGTCGTACATGTTGGCACTCGGCTGGCGGGCGATTCCAGTCGTAGTCGTAGCTAGCTGCCCTTGGGATCTTGCGAGTCCCAATACGCGTCCACCGACACGGTTGTATATGGCCGCCGCATTGCAGCGTAGGGCCACTCCCAAAGGCATGGAATACTTGTTCACCTTGCTAACAATATCCTCCGCAATTCTCTTTTCCTCCTCCAGGGGATCAGCCGGGATGGGATCCGCTCGGGTTGCAGCACCTCCAGTGCCGCGGGGTTGTCTCCCAATGTCCCGAAAACCTCCCGTCTGTGCCCTGGTCGCGGGCGCAGGCGCCTCCGCACGTACGGCCGGCGGTGGTGGCTCTTGGCGTGCGGGTACTGGTGGGTCTGGCAAACGGCGTTCCACAGCGGCCGGAGTTGGCGGTGAGGCACGTTGGGGCTCTCTCGCCGGTGAAACATAGCGGCGAGCAGGGCGCCGTTCATCAGTCTCCATTGGCATAGGCTGGTTAGGATCCACCGGTGTCCTCTTGGGGGGTGGACGAATAGGGTCGAAATCGCTGACCCGCTTGGTCGCATACCATTCCAGGTCTTGGGCGTAAAACTCGGGGTCGTTGTCCCAGGTATAGATACGTTCCATCATATGCTCAGGCGGGCACTCATCATCGTAGTAGCCGCGTGGGGGGTTACGGTCATGCCGCCTGTCGTACTCATCATACATGTTTATGTTCGGTTGTTGGCGGGCCTGCAGCGCCAGGGTTAGCTTCGCCATCCGATTCTGCAGCTCTTCCATCTCGGTCGTCAGGTCACGGGACACCGAGGGGCTTGGGCTGGAACGTGGGGGTGGCTGTCTTGGGGGATATCGTTCCTCACGGCGGGGAGTCTCCTCCCGCCGGGGAGAATACTCGTTGCTTCTCATATCTCGTGGTCTTGCACGTTCGGAATCACGTTCTTGGCGGGTATCCATGCGGATAGCTGGCTTGGGGTTAGAGTCCCGGTACTCAAAACGGCGGTCGTCACGTTGGGGTAGATCGAACCGTACTCGGCGACGGTCGTCATTGCCATCACGTGGGCCGTTAATGGTGTCATTACGCTCCCATGGGGCTTCCATGCCCTCGCTCACATAGATAGCATCCCTAATGGCCATCTCCAGGTCCGTAGGGCGCATAAGGTATACCTTGTTGTAGACCTTAGGGTTGAGTCCTCGCAGGAAGTTATACATGTGGGTTTGATCCTGTGTAGCATCTATTCGCAGCTGAGCCAGTAGGTGGCGGAAGCGGTCCGCATAAGCTCGGACGGATTCTCGAGAGCTTTGCTTGCAGTTGGCTAATTGGGTATACCATTCATCTTGTCGTACGCCGTACCGTTCGAGTAAGGCGCGGCTGAAATCTGCCCATGTGGTAGTCCTGGTCCTCACACCTGATTCCCACATTTGAGCGTCGTGGCCGAGTCGGCACTTGGCAATAGCTAGCTTGGATTCATCAGGCCAGTTGAAGACGTGGGCATGGCGCTCCACCGTGTCTAGCCAGTTCTGAGCATCACAGTCCTTGGGGTCAAAGACCGGAATAGAGAGAAGAGACGAAGGGTTGATGCGGTCGTTCATGGTGACCGTTGCTGTTAAACTAGACTTCGCAAGTTATTTATCAGGTTACCCTGCCGGTTGGTGCAGGAGCGCGTTAGCTTAGCCCCACTGGTAGTGTGGGAGTGCGGTGGAGAGTAGGTTTACCCCACTGGTGTTGTGGGAGCTAGAAGGATTTACCAATGTCTCTCAGCTTGGTCACCCCGCAGGTAGTGCGGGTGCGTGTTGGGGTTATACTTCAAGTGGTTAGGCTAGTGGTTACCAGATAGAGTCTCAAATCGTATATCCGTACAGATGGGTACTGCAATTGTCAGATAATACCTCACAGGTGGTGTGAGAGCTTGCCGGAATTACCCCACAGGCGTGTGTGGGTGCTAGGGGGAGATATCCAATCTCTCTCGGCTTGGTCTTGACTTACCAGACGGCGTTGTCGTACACGCCGTAGTGGGTAGACTAAAGGTTAGACCGAAGGGGCGGTGAAGACCGTAACAATTTCCCGCAACTCCCCCCACTTAAAGAGGTGCAACCGTATATTTTCGACAGCTGCCTTTTTCAACCTCTTGTAAACGCAGGTTTTGTCGCACACACTCCAGTGCCAGAGGAGTCGCACCCCTCATCAACTTACACCGCCTGGGACCTGGCCTGCGGGCCCAGACTCCGAACAGCGTCTAAGAGACCCAACTCTGTAACTAACCAAGTTTGCTACCTAGCCGATACCTCACCCTACCCTCTCCGGGGAACAACAGGAGAGGGGGAAAACCAACAGCCGGGCGCGGATGGGCTCTAGCCCCCAAAACCCGCCCCGGCGTATTAGGCTCTAGGCGCGCTTCCGCATGCATGCACGCCTAGAGAGGACCCCGGAGAGAGTAGGGGTGGGAGGGTGGGAAACAAAAGGCTCGCCTACCTACAGCTGCAGCCATACTTAAGAACTGTCTGCAACTACGCAAAAGTCAGCGCCTTCCTAACTGCGCACGGAAACTCAGCGGCAAAGACCTGAAAGGCCAGCTGAGGGCAAACTGTTTAACCAAGGTCAAAACGTCTAGCACCGTCCACTCGCAAGCCTGGTGGCGACTGCTCTGCTCCCTGTCGTACATGCGCTCCAAAACCCCATTTTTAGTTGACACTCAAAATGATACTTTTGTCGCACACACTCCAGTGCCAGAGGAGTCGCACCCCTCATCAACTTACACCGCCTGGGACCTGGCCTGCGGGCCCAGACTCCGAACAGCGTCTAAGAGACCCAACTCTGTAACTAACCAAGTTTGCTACCTAGCCGATACCTCACCCTACCCTCTCCGGGGAACAACAGGAGAGGGGGAAAACCAACAGCCGGGCGCGGATGGGCTCTAGCCCCCAAAACCCGCCCCGGCGTATTAGGCTCTAGGCGCGCTTCCGCATGCATGCACGCCTAGAGAGGACCCCCCTTACCCTGTCACCCACCGCACGCCTCGTCACCTCACATGCACCCCACAATGCGGGCCTTAGCCGCCGCGGAGGGGAGGATATACGCGCTCACCGCCTCCGACCGCCACCTCCCGTGCGCCTTGATCTGCTCTCCAGAGGCCCCCCCTTCCGCTGCAGCCGTGGCTCCCCCCCTTCTCAGGCTGTGGGACGCGTAATCTGGTACCCGCCCGGCTATTTGTGGCAGGGCGCGCTGCATCTCTCCTAAGAGCGCCCTGAGCCTACGCGTAAACCCCTCCTTCCGCCAAGCCTCCGACCCCGGTCCCCACTGGGGGCCCCGCGTGAAGAGCGGCGCGCTGGGCTCCGCCCCCCCTGAGCGGGCCCGCTCTAGGTGGCGCCCTATAATGCGCCCGATGCGTACTCCGCTGCCAGACGATGCCCCCAGGTGCACATCCACCCCTGCCCCAACCTGATCGGTCTTGCTCCTCGTTATCCGCACCACGTGAACCCCACCAGTCAGCGAATGCACGTCACCTAGCCGCAGCCCCGCCAGCTCACTTCTCCGCAGCATCCCAAAGAAACCCACCACCAGCCAACACGCATCCTGCTCGAGCTCCGCTCGGCGCGCTGGCGCCCCGTCCGCCGTCGCTGCCAGCCAGCCCAATAGGAGCCGCAGAAGCGGCACCGGGAACGCCTCCTTCGTACGTTGCGGCAGCGGCTCGGCCCCTGCATCGCCGCCAGCTGTGGCGGCTGCCGCCGGCGCCCGGGCACGCCACGCCTGCCTCAGCGTGCGTTGCACCAATGGGTTCCGGCGGATGGAGGCCTCCACCGGAAAACCCTTCGCGCGCTGCCAGTCCGCAAGGGCGCTAATGGTGCCTGACAACGTTGAGGGGGCCACACGGTCGGCCTCATGGGCGATGAACAGGCTCACCAGCTCGGGGCTGAGGTCCGCGCCCCGCGCAGGTGGGAAAGCCGCCCTCATGGGTAAGCCCAGAGCAGCGCAGAAGGCCGCGTAGCGGCGGCGATGGGATTCGTACGTCCCTGCTGAACCCGCCGACACGGCGCTTCCCGCTAGCGCCACCAGCCTCGCCGCGAGTGCCTCCTGCCGACCGCCCGCAGCCCCTGCCGGAAAACCCGCCGCCGCCAGGATGCAGTGGATGCAGCGGAACCAGCCGCCGGGGTACGAGCCCGGCGGCAGTCCCAGGCAGCGGCGATGTGCCCGTATGTCGCATGTCTCACAGCGCAAGTCCCCCACGGAGGTGCGCCGCACGCAGGCCTCGCAGCTCCCGCCACCCTCTACAATCGCCATGGGGGCGCAAACGCGGATCGGAATTCGGTCAGGGCAGGCGTAAGACCAGCATATCGTAAGGAGAAGGACCCGCCTCGTCGCCCCAGGGCCAAACGCAGAGGCGGCCGCCCCTGGGCAGCACCTGGGCGACCCGGAATGGTGCGGATCGGCTACGGACGAAGGCCCGGAACCACCCCCGCTCCGGCCAGAAAGGCACCACCACAACCGCCCGCGTCCGCGAGTCACGCCGTGCCGCTGCCACGAGGGTCGCTAGCACCTCCCCCACCAGGGCCTGGGGTGGGAAGGCCCACAGCGCCTTGCCCGCCAGCTCGGCCTCCTGGCCAAGCACCGACCGCCCCGCGCTGTAGAACACCTCACAGCCGGGCTGCCGGTTGGAGCCATGGGCGTCGCAGCAGCAGTCGACGGTGGGCCGGAGAGAGAACTTGCGGCATAGCTCCCTGAAGATGCTGGCCTTCAGCCGCAGGTTCTGATCCTGGGCGCTGTCAAGGCGGCGGCTGAGGCGGTCGGCCTGGCCGTTGTCCACGCCGGGAATGTGCTCAGCCCGGACCTCGAACCCTGAGCTAATCGCAAGCTCTGCAATTTGGCGGCTAAGGCTGCGGCCCTCTGGGATGCGGGTGGAGCCGTGGTTGATGGCTGCTACGGCTTGGGTGTTGTCACAACGCACCAGCACCCGGCGCCCGGCAAGGCTGGCGGCCCATGACTGCAGCGCTCTGAGGACCGCCTTGAGCTCCAGCCACGAGATGTGCAGCTGACGCTCCTCCTCTGACCATGCCCCTTGCACCTCCGCCTCCCCCCAGACTGCGCCAAACCCACGCCCACTAGCGTCCGTGAAGAGGACGGCCCCATCCTGGCCGATAAACTCCCCCCTCACTAGGTCCAAACCGATGCCCGCTGAGCGCTTTACCCCGTCCCAGACAGAGGAATCCGCCCGTAGCACCTGCCACCAGAAAGCCAGGTCTTCTACTGCGTCCGCCGCCAGGCCGACAGTGGCCGGCGGGCGGGTGGGGCAGAAGAGGCTGTCGTAGAGGCCCTGCATGAACGTGAAACCCCAGCGGCATGCCCGGGCTATGAACGTTAAGCGGCCGACGGTGGACTCCAGGAGGTGCCGCTGCACTGGTCCGGTAGCTGCCGCGTCCAGGAGGGCGCGCACGTCCGCCGCGTAGCGCTGCCGCTTGTCCGGCGAGATGCGCATCTCCATCTTCTCGGTGTCGAACAGCATACCCAGGAAGTCGAGCTGCCGCAGGTGCTCGTTTCGTCCGCGGTCCTTGCTGGTCTTCCACTCCAGCCCCAGCTCGCCACCTATTTCGTCCATGACCGCGAAGGCGCCAACGACGTCTGCATGGGTCACCCCTAGGATGATGTAGTCGTCGACGAAGCAGAAGAGCTTGACCCGTAGCCCCCGCCGGTCGCACTCCGCTTGGAAGATGGCACACGCGGCGTTGGTTAACTCCACAAAGATTGGGGGCGATTGGCTGGCGCCGAAGGGCAGCACCACCCAACGCAGGACTGCCTCCGTGGTGGGATGCCTAAAGGCCATGTACCGGCGTGCTTCCGGGCTGCACTTGATGTGGTGGAAACCAGATGCGAGGTCCCGCCTACCTACAGCTGCAGCCATACTTAAGAACTGTCTGCAACTACGCAAAAGTCAGCGCCTTCCTAACTGCGCACGGAAACTCAGCGGCAAAGACCTGAAAGGCCAGCTGAGGGCAAACTGTTTAACCAAGGTCAAAACGTCTAGCACCGTCCACTCGCAAGCCTGGTGGCGACTGCTCTGCTCCCTGTCGTACATGCGCTCCAAAACCCCATTTTTAGTTGACACTCAAAATGATACTTTGTTACGTCTGTCAACGCCTCAAGAGCACACGTATGATGACGCTGCCTTGATTTTACCTTCTTGGTCGACGTCGGTTGTCAGTTAGTTAGGGAGTTGTCACTTGCTGTTAAACAATTGGATATTATTTTAGAACTAGATAAGACGACGCGAACGGAGACCGGTCGGGTGAGCGTCGCAGTCTGATATGTTGCCAGAGAGCAATGAAGAGTCGCGTTGTACGAAAAGTAAGCTTGGATCAAGCTGAAGTGGTAAAGTACCTGCAATAGTCCTGCAAGTATTGATTGTTATCAAGCCAACACCGGTTAGCTGAAGAAGCGGTGGGTGCAAACAGATAATCTTGAAGTAGCGGTCGTGATCGTGCAAGGCGAGTGTTAAGGAGCGAGAAGGCTCGAATATATCACTCAACGGTTACACGATTATTAGCCCGAGCTGGGCACTTAGCACAGGGTCAGTTAAGCCCAGCGAGGGCTGGATACGAAGTCTGGGGACGTAGTCCAACACAGAGTCGCAATAATTGTCACAATGTCCAACACAGGACAATAACGGGTTAATGAATACGCCGACAGGCACTCAGAACCTGCACAGCAACAGAAAGGCTCGGCCGATGGCCAATCAGAGCCAGTACCAGCGGCTCCACACAACGTTCACGTGGCAGTCAAGCCAACTAGATTAATCAGAAGTCGGAAACACGATAAATGGGGCACGTCAGGCCCAACGTAGTCAGTCAGGAAACAGGGCACTTAGCCAAAGTCGTCGGATATCACACGTCCGGGGGCGCGGAACGTACCCTCAGGCTTAAGTCAACTGAGTAGTAAATCGTTAAACAACACGACACAACAACACGCCTTTTATAGTAAAAGACGACGAACATGTCGTACACTCCAGAACCAACCTCCAGAGTATTCCAGACACTCCAGAGTATCCTAAATGTCAGACATATACGCACCGAATAGACTCGAACATTCCAACCGTCATCCAAGCGTGAGCCAACTGTAATAGTACAACGACCAACCGTCCGACCAATCAGACAGAGAACAAACACGTCAGACCGTCTAGAGACATCCACACGCGTTAATCCTAAGTCAGCTCTCTTAGTCAGATCAGCTCAGTCATAAGGAGGCATCCCGGCCTCTCAAGGTCTCGATCATCTTGTCTCCAGGCTCCAGCCAGCCAAGCCTCCTCTCCAGCAGCATCTCCTCACATGTCGCCCTCCTAAACCATGCGAGTAAGGATAATACGCCATAGTAAGCTCTCCAGCCGATGTTAGACAGCCATGGCAAAAGATGACAAGTCGAAAATTTTTAGTTGGGGTGTTTTGTTGCCACAGCTGTAGCTTCCCCTGCTGACAACCGCCCGTCCCGTATTAGGACGTCAAGCGCGTGTGGTTGCGCAGTTAGCTCTAGGGCCTTTCACCAGCCAAGGCCGTGGGGACCGGGACGGCGGACGGGGTTCCTAAGCAGCAAGCGCAGGCCTGGTGCACCAAGGCAAGCGTGTCAGACGCCATAATTAGCTTTGGGAGGGCGGGGCTATTGATCATGGGGGCTGTCAGCACTCGAACGCTCCTACACTATACCCCTAGGAGTAATTTTTTTCGCGACTCTGGGACAGAGTCACTTATTATAGTATACGGAATGCCCAAGGACTAGGTGACACTACTGCTGCCGTGTAATGCCGTGGAAGCCGTCACACTACACTTGTACCACACAGCCTCTACCACCGTGTATGGGGGGTTTACGCCTAAGGTTGACTAAATCGAGAATTAATGCGCGAGCGGTAATGTAACGGGGTATCTAAGCAAGTATGTTTGACCACCTAAGACTCAGTAGCTGTTGAAGGCCTACGGATGCCACAACCGTACTGGGTGCTTGCGTGCGGAAGGGCTTGACAGAAGAAGACGAAGAAGAAGCGCCGAAGGGCGATGAGAGGGGAAGGGAAAGGGGGAACTGACGCTGGATGAGGAAACCGTGCAGAAGTGAGGGCCCTGATGTTGCAGCCCTTAGAGAGGGAGAGGGAAATTCCTAGCGTCTTGGTTTTTACCAAAGAAGGGGGCTTACGGGCCTTGGCCGGAACCGTTAGTCTCCCCGCAACAGGGGCCAAGACTTTGTTTTGGTTGGACCCCAAAATTAGCCAGGTTACCCAACTCCCTTTGTTTTTTACCTCCTTGTGTCCGTCCGTCCGTAACGCTAAAACGAACTACATGTATATTTACTAGTGATTTGTCTTCGCTAAAATATATCAACTTGGTTACGCGACAAACGATGCTTTAACCAGCCATGGAAAAGGACCACCGGCAACACCGATTACCGCTTCTCTGTGATGCTTATCCGGTTCTGTAACCAGTATTTAGTGAGTTGATAACAGCGTCGTGCTGCCAAAGAACTATCTGTGACAGTCGGCGGCTTCATAGTAAAATAGTTAACCTCCTTGGCAGGTCATTGTGGGGACTCCAAGAAAGGGGTATGCCGGCATAAAATATACAGTAATTGGCCCCTAACGTTTGCCCCCGTAAACCCGTAATTACGGAGTATGCAGGCGCCGTTGTAAGCCGTTGATGTCCGCACATTATGGTTAGTTGCGATTCGAGGAGGCACCTGGATGGCATGACGAGATCTCGAAGCCAGCGATGTTCTCTCTTCGCCATGCACAATGTATTGCCGCTCCTACTGACCTGCCAGTCCCTAGCCGACAGTTTCTTTGCCCGCATATGTGACCCTCCGTTTCCAGAGTCCGTCAATTATATAAGTGCCTTATGGACCTGATACTATATACTTGTTTTCGTTTTCGCCGGTGTGCCCACGATTCGAAGCTCTATGCAAATAGAGCTTTCCCCTGACAGTTGTAAAAACAGTTCAGTTACTATGGGTGTCCAACATGGTAGCTAGATATGAACGGGTATTTTAAGATCGAAGGTTCATACCACAGGTAAGGATGAGCGGCTGTCATCTGGCTCTCTTGCTTGGCAGTGTAGGCGACTCTGGCGGTCGCTGCATCAACTCCCTCCAACTGCTTTGCACCCGTTGGGATGGCATCCTTGTCGTAGCAAAACGCTTTGGGAGTAACGGCTTGCTGACTGTGACCATTTGTTGGTATGCTGCATGTTGGTGTCCTAAAGCCGGACGCAATGGATGCACCACAGGCACCGCAGGGACACCTTTCTGCCCTCATGCCACATGGACTTAACGCTCTTCTTTATATTTGGGCCTGCAGAAGTGCACAAGGACACGGGGCCGACCTCTGTGCGCCCTTGCATACATGGGGAAGTCAGTGCACTTTCGATCAGCAATTTTCGTGATCAGCTTATGCATAATTACTGGAATTGAGAAATGGGGCATCCAAGCAACAGGTATGTTAAAGTATTAGCTGCGCTTTACTGCCATTATTACCTGTGTGTCCCTGTGCGCCCTTTCGAATTCCTTGAAGAACCCCAAGGGATACAAAAATTAAATTCCTTTCTTTTCCCTTTCAAACATGCAGTTGTACGTGAGCTGATGTCGCTAGAACCACCCCTTCAACTTGAGCCATCCTTGCCAGGATCACCGAAGCGTCCTGCTCGTCCCCCAATGAAACCACCGCGGCCCCCTCGACCACCCTCTCAACCACCTGAGCAACCCCCGCCAGATCCACCTTCGCCAGAACCTCCCAATCGACCGCCCTCACCGTATCCACCCTCACCTCATCCACCCTCACCAGAGCCGCCCTCGCCGTATCCACCTTCACCAGTGCCCCCCTCACCTCATCCACCCTCACCAGAGCCGCCCTCGCCGGATCCACCCTCACCCCCAGCGCCTCAGCTTCATCCACCCTCACAAGTGCCACCCTCGCCTCCACCATCACCCTCACCCCCACCGCCTCAGCCTCTTCCACCCTCACCAAAGCCACCCTCACCCCCACAGGCCCCACCATCTCCAAGGCCCCCTAAGCCGCCTCCTAGACCTGCTATACCACCGCCTTCTCCGGTCCCACCGTTCCCACCACCGCCATCGCCCGTGCCACCTTTTCCTCCGCCCGGCCCACCGGCGCCTCCTCCCCCAGATCCACCGGAGCCATCCCCTCGGCCTCCCAGGAGGCCGCCTTGGCCCCCAGCGCCCCCAAGGCCACCTTCTCCGTCGCCTCCGCCAGATCCCCCGCCACCCCCGCCAGGACCGCCACCTCCGAGTCCGCCACCGCCGCCACCTTCGCCGGTCCCTCCTTTCCCGCCACCACCATCCCCAGTGCCGCCTTTCCCTCCGCCCGTACCACCCTCGCCGACTCCTCCTCCTCCCCCACCCCCACCGCCCCCACCATCCCCACCGGACATTCCGCCCCCGGACCCGCCTTCCCCGGAGCCTCCCAAGAAGCCGCCACCTAGCCCTAGGCCACCCAAGCCACCCAAGCCACCTCCACGGCTGCCGCCACCTTCCCCACCAGCACTGCTTCCCTCACCTCCCCCACCATCCATGCCATACCCCGAACCAGCACCCCGACCGCCTCCCGACAATGCGCCGCCCTCGCCTCCACCCTCACCCCCACCGCCTCCGCCCGAACCACCCTCACCAGCTCCACCCTCGCCTCCACCCTCACCCCCACCGCCTCAGCCTCTTCCACCCTCACCAATACCACCCTCACCCCCACGGGCCCCACCATCTCCAAGGCCCCCTAAGCCGCCTCCTAGACCTGCTATACCACCGCCTTCTCCGGTCCCACCGTTCCCACCACCGCCATCGCCCGTGCCACCTTTTCCCCCGCCCGGCCCACCGGCGCCTCCTCCCCCAGATCCACCGGAGCCATCCCCTCGGCCTCCCAGGAGGCCGCCTTGGCCCCCAGCGCCCCCAAGGCCACCTTCTCCGTCGCCTCCGCCAGATCCCCCGCCACCCCCGCCAGGACCGCCACCTCCGAGTCCGCCACCGCCGCCACCTTCGCCGGTCCCTCCTTTCCCGCCCCCGCCATC